AAAAAAAAAAAGAATGGTTATCAAAAACAGCAGCAAAGAAGCAGATAAATACATTTTAAAATACTAATAACGCATAATTTGAAGGAAATAAATTGTGCTCAATAAAAACTAAAACTGTTCTTGTTGGATTGAAAAAAGTTGTTTGGAGATAAGGAATTCTATGCCTCATATAGTATTCAGAAGCAGGGTATTGATTAATATTAGACTTTAGGTATAGCTTCTGACACATATAATTAAAGTCTAATATTAATCAATACCCTGCTTCTTTCCCCAAACCCTCTTCCTCAGACACCTTGACCGCTAGAAATTAAGGCTTGACGACACTCAGCAATGGCCCTCTTGCCGGTTACCTGCTTCCTATACCACCCCCTTGTCCACACAGTGCGGAGAGACACAGAGACAGCCAGCAGCCGGCCTCAGAGAGGCTGCTGACCCCAGGTTGTATGGCCCAAAATGTCCTAACACTACTCTAGATGAAAAGATATTTGCTTAAGAAATTGCCCCTCATAATTCTCCCCATGAGCCCGTATACAGATTAAATAAGGCAGTTTTATGGTAATACAGAAATTATTAAAAACATTCTTCTTGAGGTTTGACAACGAGGCAGTAGATATGTATCTACTACATAGTTGTTAGTCAAAAAAGTATGTTTTAAATAATCAATTGGTATTCATTTAAAACACAATCATGGTCTTATTAAAGCTAAATTTAATACATGCTGTATTTGGAACTAATTTCTTTACCACCACACAGAAACCTTTCCAGCTGTCCTTTTTTGTTGCATTGTTGACATTCAGTGGCGAATTAGGGGAATCTCTGATGAAAATTTCCTAAGGCTAGACATGTGTGCTTATTTATAATTCAAATTCAGTATCAGTGATCTGTGATCTCCCTCCTCTATCTCCAGTTCTCTGAAATAGTTGGATAAGTTATAAGTAAGAATCTATTTATCTTCAAAAGCATTAAGAGGCAGGTGAGTACTGTCTAATCTGGAAATGTGGAGGGCAGACATCTTTCTCAGCAAGCGCATTTGAGCAAACGGTTCTTGATTTCCTACCATTTCTCATTGGCTACCATAAAAAAAAAATCTTTCTTATCTACCTTTTAAATTATTTACCACTAACAATTTATATCTTTCAAATTTTGAGTTTCCTTTTCAGAAATATTTCTTACATTGAACGGAAAAAAGGAATGACGCTGTTCTATGCTAGAGAAGGGTTACCTGATTTGGAGCACAGAGAAAAAACTCCATCTTCATTTCCACTCAAAATGGAGTAGGTAATGCTGTCTTTGCTTGAGTCAGGAACAATAGCACTTACAGTCACAATAGAAGTACCTGTAAAAATTAGGTTAAAAAAAGTTAGGAAAATAAAAACCAGGGAAGAACAAGTGCAAACACTAGTAATTTATTATCTTCCTATTATACCCTGGCTTAGTCATTCATTCAATGATTTCTTAGTACTACATGTCTCCCACTGTCTTCAAGAAGCCAGAGTCTACGGTAGGCACTCGGGATTTAGTGACCAACGACATAGGGGAGATCTCTGGTCTCATGCTGGTTATTAGCTGATTGGAGGAAATGGACAATACAACATTAACAAACACGTAATTATGATAGATTTTAGATGTGCTAAGTTCCCTGGGAAGGATGAAACAAGATTATATGATGAAAAACACTTCTTAGGCTCTCCCTGGTGGCGCAACCGGTTAAAGCACCACAGTATGAAGCTCTCAGAAGCCACAGCAGTATGAGTTCGATCCCCGGCCAGGGAGGTGACCCACGTGGTGCAGCAGACCTCTCCTGACCCACCCGCTGCTCCCCTCAGCAGTGTACATCATCGGTCTGCCTGTTCTGCTCCCCACTCTGTCTCTGGTGAATCCTCTGACCGCCCCTGCACCTCTGGCCTGTACCCCAGTTCTGGAAGCACAAATAAATAAATCTTTTTTTAAAATTGCCATCAGTCAAGCCAGAAAATAATCTAAAATGGGGGTCTAACATGAGGGGGCAGGAATATAAACATAAATCTTCCCTCAACCAGTTACCAGTATAGCTGAAAGCACCCAAGTAGAAATTAACTGATGTTTTAACTATATCATAATGATTCATTTAAAAACTGTTAAGATAGGGCAAGAGTAGTTAAAGTATACCTTGAAGAAAGGCACAGTGACTGTGATAGGCACAGGAATTAGAGAGGAAGACGGGAAATACATTAGGTTACAGGGAAAGACTGATTTCCAGCATGAAAAAGGTTCGCAATGACTGGTGAGTGCAGCACAGCCTGGCGGAATTAGAACTAGGGTTCCACTGGAAGGGTTTCCAGGATCTGTTTGGGTCTCTGGAGAGCATTCTGTTGCCGTTGTTTGTAATGGCTCGTGTCTCTTGTCTTTATTCTCTGCTTTTATATGCACTGGGAATGCACACCTTCATGTGGCTTGCTTTGCTGTGGTGTTCACTTGATTTCAAGGTCTGGGACCAATGCCACACCTCTGAGGGGCACCTGTGTTTGGAATCAGTCTGTTTCTATACTTGACTTCGAATCTGCCTTTCAAATTTCATACACATACAAACCACCTTGCAGCTGTCTCCTTTTATCTGATTTTTTTTTTTTTAAATCAAGCTGGTATTAATAGTTTGTGTCTTTAAGGAAGGGACAGAGCAAAGCCAGGGAGGGTCATGGAAGCATTTTAGCCTGAGACTACAAAACTATTTCTCTGCCTACAGGACCTTCTACACCAACAGTGACTTTTTTAAAAAAATCACTTCATGCAATAGGACTACATCTGATATAGGAGGTGCAGTAATTAAAAATAAACAGCACCCACCCAAGATGTCTGTGGGGTCTGCTCTACAGAGGACCAGCTTAAGACCCCTGTAGAGGTTATGAAGAAAATAATCCCTAAGCCAAGTCAAGAGGTGAAAGAAACATTATGCTTAATATAAACTATGACAAACTATGGTTTGAGAGAAATCATTTATTGGGATTTCTAAATAGTTTCTCCTTTCAAGTCAGTTATGAAGTCATTTAATGTTGGAGGAGAGGATTCTAAATCATCACAGTGGCATCAACTTACTACACATGTCTCAAATGCTTTCCTATTGCGTTATCTGATGCTTATTTTACTGCATCACAGGAGACACATTAGTATAAAAATGTCTAACATTTTCAGTAAGAATATGATAATGTAGGATAATCTGTGTTATCTCCAGTCTCAATCACAGTCCTGTGCTTCTTGATAACACTTTATATTTTAAACATGGGAAGTTCTATTTCATCTGGCTTGTCCTATATTCTTAAGAAGGGCAGTAAGAAGAGAAACACTTCTATGGGCGAGGCACCAGTCACGCTCACAGCCTTTTCTTCATGGGTTAGAAGGCTTATTAAATGCCCAATTACAAAAGAAAACATGGAGACGGCTTGCACATAAAAGAACAAAAATGAATACAGAACTGCATATAAGAAACACATATGGTCTTTCTCGTAAATGGACAATCCTAGTTTTATTACAAATAAAATGCTCCTATCAAATGAAATTGTAGTGCATAAAGAATTTCATACAATGAAAATGCTTCTGTATTTTACTAGATGCGAAAGTCAGTAAGGAGTTGCTTATACTGATATTGTTCTTCCTCTTATGAAATGTAAAGGCTGAGGCTGCTTGAAAAGAAGAGAAAATAATGAAGGGGACTTGAATTCTTCTAGCTTGTGATTTACTATGCAAGGAAAAAAATCAACACAGTAAAAAGGTAACCAATAAAATGAGAAGAGATATTTGCAAACCATATATCTGGTAAGGGATTAATCTTCAAAGTATAGAAGGTGCTTCTACAATTTGATAAGAAAAAACAAACCAAAAAATCCAACAATTAAAACATGAACAAAGAACTTGAATAGGAGTTTCCCCAAAGAGGATATACAAATGGCCAACAGGAAGCAAAACTATGCCCAGAATCACTAATCATCAGGGAAATACCATAAAAACACAAAAAGATACAACCTTATGCTAGTAAGAATGGCCGCTATCCAAGTAACAGAAAAGAACAAGTGTTGGTGAGGACATGGAGAAATTTGAATCAACATCGGCACCTGTTGATGGAAATATTAATTGATGTAGCCACTATGGAACACAGTATGGAAATTCCTCTAAAATTTAAAATTAGAATGACTATGGGACCTGGTAATTTCATTCTAGGTATATATTCAAAAAAGTGAAAAGAGGATCTCAAATAGATATTTCATTATGTCTTCATCTATTTATACCCATCTACATGTAAAACACCTATCACACAGACACACTCAAAATGGAGTATTATTCAGCCTTAAAATTGAAGACTGCACTGTGATGAAACAACATGAATTAACCTTGAGGACACTGTGAACACGCCAGTCATCAGATTGTACATGACTCCAATTCTAGAAGTTATCGAAATTAGTCAAACCTTTAGAAGTAGGAAGTAAAATGGTGGTTGCGAGGAACTCAGGGTCGGGGGGGGCAGAGGAGGAAGTCTTGTTCAAGGAGTCTAGAGTTTTGGTTTTGTAAGATGAAAAAGTTCTTAAAATTCACTGCATAAAGACATTGAGTCCTGAAAAATGGTTAAGACGGTACATTTTACGATTTTTTTGCAACAATATAAAAGAGAAGTATAAATTTTCTCTTCCACTTCCCATCATCAGAAATGACTGAATACATGTTACTAGAGCATTTCAAAAGTTCACCACTGGGATGAGATAAAGCTGGAAAATGTATGCGAAATGAATAAAGTTCCAAAATGTTTGAACAGATGAAACACGCTTTCAAATGTAAATGGTGTGCAATCTTAAACACGTTTACTTTTGAAAACACCTAAGGAAATAATAGAGGAAACCATAAAAAGGGCTTACTGACTTTTTATGAGTTTTAGTAAGAGGGAAGAAAACTAATATAGAATTAGTACATACAATGAGAAGCAAACAAAATGAACTCTGTTTTTAATGGGATTACAGACTTTAGAGGGCAATTTTTCTTAAAAAGGAATGATTATATATAAATAGCTGCACTTAGTCATTTAAAAAATATATTCATGACAACTCAGAGGAAAGGCAGGTGCTCAAAACTTCCTGGATGGGCCCTCCCTGGTGGCGCAACAGGTTAGGACACAGCACTGCAAGCTAGCTCCAGCTCCTTCAGTGCGAGCTTGGTCCCCACCCCAGAGGTGACCCACATGGCCCAGCAGACCTCTCCTGTCTCGCCTGCTGCTCCCCTCAGCAGTGTATTTCATCAGTCGGCCTGTTCTGCTCCCCACTCTGTCTCTGGTGAAGCCTCTCACCGCCCCTGCACCTCTGGCCTGTACCCCAGTTCTGTATGCCCAAATCCTACTGCTTCTGTAATTTTGCGATTTATAGAGGACCACATTGAAAACAGACCTGAGTGTCCAGGGTTGCCTCAGTGCTGAATCGCATTACGGAGCTTGCCTGGGGGGCCTGAGGCTGCCCATCCCCCCTCCCTGCCCATCCCCAGGCTGATATCAGACTTCAGATCCCCTGCATCTCCTGGTCCTGCTCTTACTTTCCTTTCTGGAACCCCGAGGCAGCCAGAATCCAGCACCTGTGTGTGTCCTGAAAGGAAGGCTGCCCCAATTTTTCTAAGTGAGTGATCTCAGTTTTCATTATGAGAGGCACATTATTTCAATAAACAAATTTCTAAAAGCCATCTTAACACAAATATTTCACTTAGGTTAAAAGAAATGGCTTTTGTTTTTAGTTGCCACATATTGAGTACCATAATCTACCACCCCAGGAATTCCACATCGGTGTCTGAGAGGCTTTCTGAGGAGACTGAAAATAATCAAACTCGGGATCAATGTCCACAAAAGACATTAAAAGCACAAACTGAAGAAAGGGAATTCACTCCCTGTCATTAAATACAAAAGAAAATTCTCTGTAAACTTTAAGCTATATAAATCACAATGTCTAAACCTATTCCAGTATCTAAAAACAAAACAAAATATGCTCTGAATACCAAGGTTCTTCAGGTTGTTTTCACATTCCTTTCTCTCCCTTCACGGAAGCTTCATGAATATTGGGCTGAATTTTAGTCTCATTATTCACTCTGCATCTCATTAAACATCAGTTTGTGAAGTAAAATTGTTGTGAATGAATTCTCTCCACAGTCCCCATCCCTCCCTCAGGTTGCTGAATTCCGTGAGGCTACATACAAGTCCTGTCACTGACTTCAGAGTTTGTGTTAGATCTGGGCTCTTGGTCTCTCCAAATCCTGACCACTCTCAATAGAGGAAACTTACATGCCACAGAACTTTCTCTCCACCCTCTCCCAGCCCCGTATGCTGATCATGTCATGTTCTGATTGATCCTTTATTTTTGAAGTGTGAGGTTGATTTTCTGACACGCCTTCCTCTCTGTCATGTTATTATCTCCTGATACCAACATGGCTGCCTGGGGCCATGTGAGGTGACGCTTCCCTTTCCACTGAGGAGTGCTGAAGGCTCTCACCCTACTCTGAGTAGCTTGCAGCCCTCAATTCTCCCCTGTGGACAGACTCCTGACAAAGCTGTCAGTCACCTTTCAGTGTGTTTCTGAGCTAACCTCTGCTGGGAATTAGACATGGCTGACCACACCTTGCTTTCTTGGCTGTGCTATGCATCCAGTACCATCCTCTCAGGGTGCCCAGGGATGAGGGGAGAGCACAAGGGTCTGTGGTGGAGCACTATGGGTGTTTGGGTGGTCAAAGAGCTACCAACTTCCTCCCACCTGAGGGGGGTAATATTATACTGTCAAAATACTAGCACGAGTATAAAACACTGGCATTTCATTAAAAATAAAATCTAAAATTAATTTGCCTTTTGGAGACTATGATATGACCTTTAAGTCTCTGTTGAGTTTATGCTCCAGGCAAAGCTTTGGCCAACTTGAAATGTCAGCCAATATTTTACACATCTCCTCACCACGTTCACAAGGGCTTTGGAGATGCTGCTGACCTAGGTGTCAGCTCATCAAATTCAATTGTCTCCTTAGCTGCTATCTTTTTGTCTCTCTTTCTCTTCCCATTATACACTGCAGCTACTTCTTTACTCTTAGCTTGGACTTGATGCCCTTCACATATGCCAGAGTGACTCTCCAAGATAAGGCCCAGTTGCTTCAGGTCTCTTGAAATGCACTTACCTAGACACTTCTGGACACCATATGCTTTGTGACTGCCAGAAGTACTGCCAGCCTTCCATATGTGCAAGATTTAACAAAATGATTTAGGGATATTAAGTTCTATTGAAAAGATAACAAACAGGGCCCTCCCTGGTGGCCCAAAGGCTTAATGCGCAGCACTATGGAACTACTGCAGCTGCTGCAGTACAAGTTCAATCCCTGGCCAGGGATGTGACCCACAGATTGTGGCAGACCTCTCCTGACCCATCTGCTGCTCCCCTCAGCAGTGTATTTCAGTACATCTGCCTGCTCTGCTCCCCACTCTGTCTCTGGTGATTCCTCCCCCCACCCCACCCTGCACCTCTGGCCTATACCCAGTTCTGGATGCATACATAAATAAAGCCTTAAAAAAGTAACAGTCAAACTTAATGAAGTCTAAGAAGGACAACCCTGATGGTCCTGCAAAGAAAACATGAAGAAACACGAAAGCGGGACTAAGGTGTCCCCTCCATTCATCCCTTTGCTTTTCTATCAGGATCTTACATAGGGGAACCCGTCAGAGACAAGGGAGCGACTCGGTCTTCACTGTCACCTGCTCCACCTTTCCCTCAGACCAGGTTATTCGCAATGATATTGATTCACCCCAGCTACGATGGCTGGAAGTGGGTGGGAGGTGGACAGACATGAGGAAACACTGCATGAGGGTTCAGGACGGGCTGAATCTAGTCACCCCGCCCCCCAACGATGGCTGCACCTTATTAACAGTGAGCCGGTGGGGGGCAAACCGGAGGCAGAGCACAATGAAGCAGGCGCTGACTTCCTTCCCGTGGCAGCTGTGTTAGTGTTAAGACTACCTCATTTCTTAATTTAACCTCAAATGTGACTACACCGACTCATCCACAATGATTTCAGATCATTGGGTGCCTCAGTAGTCACTTTACTGAGGTTTATTTCTGCCAACAGATTGATCTTGGATCCAGTGAGGAAGGATATCCTACCAACTAGGAAATGCCTCAGTCACTTAATCTTTAAAAATTTCACTTACTTATGTGGAAAATTGCGATGACACTGTTGACTTTCACACTTACTATCTGTGCCTCTGGAGAGCTGATATTGGAAGTGAATGTTCATCAGCAGTGGTTGCAACCCCTATTCTGTGAAGGGTGAAAGAGTGAAGTGGAGATGGGAAGGGATTTGAATAAAAGCTTGCGTTCTCCCGACGGTGTCCAATGCCCAGGATCTGGTGTTAACCCTCGGACCTCGTTTCCAGTGACTCTCTCTTGCCCACGCTGCCTCACACAGCTCTTTGTGGTTCTCTGAGCAAACAAGTTATTTCCCACTTGCTCTTCCAGTTTTCTTCTTTTTGAAAACGCTGCTCCTACACCCAGGGCGACCCCTTCTTTTTAAGCCTTTGAATCATTTGCTCAACAATTCCTGCCTTTTTCTGGTAACTCAGGCTGTGGTCCTGAGGCTCTAAATCATATATAGTGTTGTAAACCAATACTATAAAAAATAAATGAAATTGCAATGTGCCCCTCCTCCAACTCCTTTATACTGCTCTGCTTTTTCTTTATTCAACAGTTTATACCACCACTTTCCAGTTATTCTGTTCATTTGAGTTGTCTCTTCCCCAAGTGAATGAAACCTTCAAGGGACAAGTATCTTAGTATCTTGTTTTTAGGTCACGAATATGTATCCCATCTGAAAGGTACCTGGCACAAAATACTTAATAAAAAGAGTGAATAAAAGATCTGCAGATTAACAGATTAGGGCGGTGAAGAGTCCTGGAGGGCAGATTGAATTTACCGACAGACCTAAAGGAGGCAGATCTGGGTTCAACATACAAATCACCTGGTGGTTGCTTGGTGATTGCTAAAAGAATCACGTGCAGAGCTTGTTAAACAACACGTTTACTTGTTACGCTGCTTGTAAAAACAACAGCCCCCAGGCCTCAGGCCTAACACCGAACAAAGTCCTAGGTCACTACACACCCAGGCCAAAATATTCAGATCACCAGGTGCTAGGGGTGTTTAGGGAGCAATGTGTAGATTTGCAACTAGAGATAAGGCTGGTTCATGATTCTATGATTTCATCAGATTGATTTCAAAATTAATTAACATATTGCATTTTGTGCTATGTTATTCAGAGAGCATGGGCACTTTCCATCTGGCTTTGCTCTGGAGTTAGATACATATTCTTCAGAGGAGAAGCAAAATAGCTGTAAAGAGTAGCTTGTAGTTTTAACATCTAATGCTTATGTGGAAGTCTCATTACACATAAAAACAGAGGTTAGACATTTCTGGCATTTTTGGAGTCATCATCATTTAATTTAATAAAGAGAACTGCAATTTACTCTCAATGTTTAGAATCAAGAAAGTAACCTATGGCATAATCATAATTCAAAGTAAGCTATGATTCAAAAGAGGGTCAAGGTCAGGTTAATAATCTGCAACTGAGAAAAAGCCTAATTTAATATTCAGTATTAAATTGAATTTTTTTTATAGAGCAGGCAGTATAAAATGGATAACAAAAATAATTTCACCACGCAATGAAGACATCGCTTTCATAAAAATGCAAGTTGCTTTTTAAGTATCGAAGCCAAATCATGATAAAAGGACAAATCAAAACCAAACAAAAACACAAGCACAAAGGACACAGCACACACAGGACCGTGGACAGCCAGCGGCTCCTCTCCCTCACCCTCGAGCCCATTTGCTTTGCCCTTGGGCTGGTTGAAAGAACCTGAAAGTTCATTTCATTTCTCTACTCTCTATTTAGATATAATTACCTGGCTTAAATTTCTTTCAATTCACAACTAACTACAAAGAAATCTTTGTGTGTGTGTGTGTGTGTGTGTGTGTGTGTGTACACATTGTGTGTGTGTGTACTTATATAGTTATATATAAATATATATACATATGTTTGCTTCTGGGTAAAAAGATACCATTATGACATAAATTTGGGTAGGGAAAGAGCTGAAAAATTCAGCACTGTGAAGAAACAGCAATGACAATAGTAATTACTACTAGTGTTATCGCAGTTCCTATTGCCATATGCTCGCTTCATGCTACCATGCCTCCAAGGGACTAACTCACTCAGCCCTCAGAATAATGAGGCACATTCTTAATTTGCAGAGGAGAAACCAAGGAAACAGCGGCAGTTGGGATGTGAACCCAGGAGAGCCCAAGCTCGAAAACACAAGAAGCTGCATCTTCCATTACACTTCCTAGAAAGTGCACAGTCAGTGACGACCCACCTACATCTAGACGAAAAGGCTTATTTTGAGTTTGTAAACATGAAAGAACTAAAACTCCAAAGGCTCTAAGAACGGATCTTCCAGTGTTTTATTATTACTTTTTGTGTATTTAATAGTGTATATTCTCGAATAATGTACTTTGAAGGAAATTTAACACAAGGATTGACTGGTCTTGAAATGTTCTAGTTGAATCTACAAGAGCACGCTTGCCCAGCTTATTAAAAATGCTTATTTTTAAGCATTTTTCCAAAGAGGTCCACTCTACCAAATACTCACCTGCCTCGCAATTTTCAGTCACGATGCCTCTATACAAAGGGTGGCTGAAGGAAATCTGGACACCTTCTCCTTCCCCATGAACGACCAGGAGGCCGGAGGTGGTCCTAGCTGGGTCCCCTCGGTCCATAACTTCCAAAGGCAGCCAGATGGGAAAATATTCTGAAGATGGGTTTTGCCACAGTTGAATTTCTCCTGTGTATTTATCCAGAGAAAACATCGACTGGGGCCCAGCAAAACAGAACACAACAGTTCCATTGGGCCCCAGGTCCGGGTCACTGGCTCTCAGAACCGCCATGGTCTGGTTGGTAGGTGACTGGGGAGACAGGAAAATCTCAAAGGGGTTCTGTTCCCAAACTGGGTCATTGTCATTGACATCGGTGATGTGGACATCTACAAGGAGCGTGGTGCTTCTGGAGCCCTGGGCACTGTGGTCTCTGGCCCCCGCCCGGAAGGTGTACTGGGAGTGGGCTTCTCGGTCCAGGGTGCGGGCAGTTCTCAGGGTGCCCGTCACGGGGTGGAGTGTGAACGCACCAGAAGCCTCGTCCATCAGAAAATACTCGGTCTGCCCATTCAGGCCCTCGTCCTTGTCCACAGCAGTGAGCACCAGGACCATGGTGCCCACGTGAGCATCTTCCCGCACCCGGGACTGGTAACGAAGCGTGGGGAAAGCCGGGCTATGGTCGTTGTCGTCGACAACTCGGATGTTCAGCTGCACCATGGAGCTCCGAGCTGGGGTCCCCAGGTCTTGACACAGCACAGCAAGGGTGAAAGTGCTGACCTGCTCCCGGTCCAGAGCCCGAGTGGTCGAGAGCTCTCCTGATGTTTCGTTGATAGCAAAGAATTCCGCTGTGTTGCCCCCTAAGGAAAAAGGCAACTTTAACATTCATGTGAATTGAAAACATACACGTCCTTGAGGCCTCCCTGGTGGCGCAGAGGTTAAGTTTTAGCACTATGAAGCTATCAGCAGTCACTGCAGCATGGGTTCAATCCCCGACCAGGGAGCTGACCCACATGGCCAGCCAAACTCTCCTGTCTCCTGGCAGCGTATTTCATGGATCTGCCTGTTCTGCTCCCCACTCTGTCTCTGGTGAATCCACTCACCCCTCCCACCTCTGGCCTGTACCCCAATTCTTATATGCATAAATAAGTAAATCTTAAGCAAACAAAAAAAGGACACATACATGTCCCATGTTTGCATTATATCTGTCCAGCGCTTCATTCAGCAACAAATCTTTACTTCCTGGTTAGATCATCTAGCATTTTTGTTAAGTACTAGGGACATAACCATGAACAGGATAAAATCCGTGCTCCGGTGAAATGTCTATCATTGTGAGGCAACAAAAATCACACAATTCAATATATATCTCAGTTCCATCAATAATGAGAGCCTCGGCCAGAGGCTGTGTGCATCGACACAATAATCACACACTATTATAATCACACACTATTACTTTAAGGAGATTAAATTGTGTATGCTATTTGAAATAAACCAACAGGAGACAGGGATAAGAAACAGGCTATAATGTCCATTTTTATATACTCATCAGAGATGGACAGTCACACAGCCCTGGAAAGCCATGTGGGTCTTGCCGCAGCTAGAAGATTCTGGCACTGGGCCCACAGGTGCTTGAGGCTCAGAATGGGCAGAGGTGCTGAGGGAAGGCGAAGAGACACAGGGCCTGGCTTGTCACCAGCAAGAAGACAGGGGCTGGCGAGGCTACTTTTTGAAAAGATATTTTTTTGTTCTATTTGACACTTTTAAAAAGTGAGTACTAGCTTGTGATATCAATAGTTGTGATATGGTAGAACATTACCTTTAGAGCAAAAATTTGGAATTTCTAACTTAAAAAAGTACATGTTGGCGTAGACTCAGATTCCTAAACCTTGGAACCCCCATCATCTGCTCCATTGATTTTGATGCAATATTTGTTTTTAATCACATAAACTACAAAACCCAGCTTTGCAAAGAGACAAAGGTAATAAACCACACACTAATGTTGAAGCTGTGAGTTTCTTCCTGTTAATTCTCTCAGGTTAGTATCTCATAGATGTCAAATATCACTGTTTTCCCTCGAATTTTAAGCCCCCTATAAGCATCACTATGCATTTATAACCTGGGGTTCCTTGGTCCATAAAAAAAAAGTATGTGTTGGGGGTGCATGGTTTTCCAAGACTCTGTTAAATGACCTACTAAGGAGGATCACCAGGAGTGGCTGGAGGAGAACCCAGATGGTGACTTGTGTGGGGGTGGGGGGAGGGGGCACTTGGGACCTGCTGATGATGAGGTGCTGTTGGGGATCACGACCGGTCACCGAGGCTGTCGGAAAAATTATAGAGCAATTTGAAATGGGAGAGAAAAAGTAACAACTAGCAAACGTCCGGTCTGGCTTTGCCCTAGAGTGCCTTCCTCTGCTTTCCCACGCTGTAAAGCGATGAAAACTGATAATACTGCAACGATTCTCATGCACAGCAAGGCGAATGCGTCGTGCCTGCTGGGCTGGCTGCAGTTCTGCAGACAGACGTCATCTGCATTTCATAATTCCATGGTTCCTCCAGGCTTGTGCCTGTGGTTCTAGGAGATCTGCCGATGCCCATTTTAACATCTTTTTGGTTTGCTTATTAGTTAATGAGTTAAGTAAAAATCTTTTCAGTGACTCATGTTACAGTTGTATTTGTATGCCATTATTTTACTTTTAACAAAAGTCTTTTAATGGAACTTAGAACTACAAGGTGAATAAGAATGGGAAATACCGGGATCGCACTGGCAGCGAGGATAAGGACAGCAAGAAATGGCGGAGTAAGGGTGTGTCTGTGAGCACAGGCAAGAGAGAAGCACAGAAGACCAGGGAACTCTGAGCCAGGAGACCAGCGGCAGGGGGTGCGGAGGGTTTGGCCAGGAGGCAAGCGAGGCCTCTGGAGACAGTGGTTCTCTGAAGTCAGGGTGGAAGCAGCCATTTGCATGTCTGTAGAGTTTTAGGGTTCTGTTTTGCTCCTCCATGCCTCACAGGCCTCACTCACCCTCCACCACCCCTCCCCTGCCAGCCCCTTTTGCCTTCTCTTCCTTTTTCCCAGCCCCTCTGCTAACCAGCATGTTTCTACTAAGCCTTGGATTTATTTTTGCTGTGCTTTGCCATTATGTGTTTCTTGGTCGTTTATGTCCCACAGATAAGTGAAGCCCTCAGACACTGTCTTTCACTTTCTGGCTTTTTGAAATGAGCTGTGGCTCTCAGGCTGACCTGGCCAAGGCTAACCTCCTGCCTCCCATCCACAGGGTATCATAGCGCAGTCATCTTCGGGAGCAGAAGTCGCTAGAGATCCAGGCCTGAGAGGCAGGTTCGTAAGGTGAAGGGGTCCATGGGTATTCAGGCCCGGGCAGATTTGTCTCCTCATGTGTCATGGCTCTATTTTAGAAAGGCCTGAATAATAACTGCCAGTATTTATTATTAATAACTGCCTGTAGTTATTATTAATAATATAGGTGGTCATTTGAGAGAAACGCAAATAGGAAAAAACAAAACAAAACTGCCTCCTCCATCTGTCCATCCCATAGTATCAGCCTAGAAAGATTCACAAGTGTCACCGCAGGCACGCTTTTAAACCGCGTGGAAGACAGAGACAGCACGGGGAGCTTTGGGAAGGAGGCAGAGAGGACCCCACGCACCACTTCTTGCTGGGTATGTGTTTTGCAGACACTGCAGTTGGCCCCCAGTACAAAATAACCACACAGTGGTTGAACATTCAAGGGTACCCGGGAGATTTCAATCAAGAGAACACTCACCAGTGATGTGACACCTGACGACCCCATTGCTGCCAGCGTCCCTATCAGAAGCCAAGATGGTGTAGACAACCCCCGGCTCTTGGTTTTCCAGAAGCTCGATGTCATGACTGGGCAAAGCAATGTCTGGCGTGTGGTCATTTTCATCCTCCACAGAACAGAGAACTGTTGTGGTGCTGGACAGCGAAGGGGTGCCCCCATCTCGTACCAGCACTGCCGAGAGGTCGGAGAGGGGACTGGTTATTGTTGTTAATTCATACTTTAAAAATGCTGCCTTCATTAGACAGCACCAGACCAACTGGCCTGGCAGCAGAGAGCAGGATTATTTGCTTTAAAAGCATACTACTGAAATACAAAATTTCACAAATCTCCTGCTGTGATTTTAAATGTTTTAATATTTACACACATACATTTACATGTACTCATACACATACACATACATATACATGTGTGTGTTTACATCATTGTTCATTTTTGTACAATGTTTGATTTTCTTTAAAATGGAGACGAGGGATCCCTTACCTAGAAGAGTGAAGACTTCCTGAACTTCTCTGTCAAGTCTAGCGGTAGTTGTTACTTCTCCAGTGTCTGGACTTATCTGGAACAATCCAAATGAAGCACCTGGCATGATTTCAAACTGAAGCTTGGAATTGATTCCTTAAAGAAAGTACAAAGAAAAACTTAGCAAATACCCTTCCAGAACCTGCGATCCTTTTCCATTCTTTTCCCGATCAACATGTGAGGCCATAGAAGAAAAAGGCGAGACACTTCAAACAACCTTCAAATTAAGGTAACAAAAAAACCTCTTTGGCTGTTCCTGCTAAATAAAACCCTCATGGCTGAAATGCTTGATTTTCAAAAGTCTTATGAGACTTCCCCACAGTGAATGCTTAAGATTTTTTCCCTCCCATAAAAAATTTCTTATGAGTGTGCAACCCTCAACATATTCCTAATTATTCCTTCTAACACCCCCGATTGGGATTTAATGAGATAATTGTAAGCTTGCAGGGCACATGACAATATCTGTAGCCTGAACCTCTAGTTAAAGGCTTAGGTCAGCTGTGTGCTCTGTTCTCCAGTGCAGGAGCCCAGCACAGAGCGAAGCTTGCATGTAGACTTCCGCTGCATGTACTACTTAGTATTCAGTCTCCTATCCAGACTAAGAAACGTGGTACCATGTTTTTACACATTTTGAAAATAATTCTTCCTATATTTTCATGGTTTTATTTCTCCCCTGAGAAAAATATCACATTGTTTCCGTCAGTTTATCCCAAGCCAATAAAGGTTATTTACATTTTACACAAGTTCCTTTCAATCCTCCCATGTTGTTTTCCTAACTGAAAAGAATTTAGGTATAATATGTGGGCGTAGATGATATGACATAGAATCTAGGTATACAGAATAGATAAGTTATATATCTAGGAAATTAGTATGTAATACATTACATGATATATATGATGTCATATATATATACTTTAGTAAGTGTAGAATATATGACTTTATTCTTCAATAAAAGGTGAGATACTGCTCTTTGGTTTTAGCAAAAAAATAACTTCAACAACAAATTTTTATCTTGCTAGTCTTAAAAAATAAATTTTCATTCTTTTGTGGGGGATATAATATAGGAATGGGTGGTGAAAGAATAGAATAGAACACTGGTTTCATATAAGAATAAATCTTTATGTATCACCTGGAAAAGAAGGATATTTGGGATATTTGGCAGGCATTTTAGTGACCTTGAGAAAAGTCTAATAAGATAAGATCAATGACTTTGGGATGGAAAGGTCAAAAGTCACTAAAATATTTCATTCTCATTAGGTCTTAGGCATCTTATTACATTAATGCTCATTTAGTCGTCATAATGATTATTTTGATCTCATATGGTAATATGATCTTTTCTATAACAAAGACAATCCCTGAAAATTGTCCCTAACATGCTGTAAAGAACTCTAAAACTTAAGCTAGAGCATCACACATACACACACACACACACACACATTCACACAGACCTCAAGAGCTCGAGGACTTTCATAGACACAGGAAAAGACACCAGCTAGGGGCTCACCAACATTCTTTATAAGCTGCCCACAGGTACAGTCATCATCTGTATAGACTGATGCTGTGGATGATGGTACCACCGAGCCTGTGGACCACCTTTAAGCAACAGTCCACACCAACTTGTAAGGATTATCAGAAGTGATCTCCTGCAACCCAGCAGGAATAGAACGTATTCGTATGCATATAAACTCTTCCCCAACAGAAATACTGATCATCTCGGCATCCAACAGAACATCCCTTTGATATGTCACTTTGGTGACATCATTATAATATGTCTGAGAAGCAGGAAAACAAGTAACTTAGATGTCTAAATTAGACGGTCTTAGATCAGAAGTCAGCAGCCTGCAGCCCACCAGCCTAATCTAGCCATGCTTTCATAAAGTTTTATTGAGATATATTCACTCTCATTCTTTTATTATCTATTGCTGTGATCTCATGACCATGTCGGAATTGAGTAGCAAAGCCCTATAGCCCACAGAACCAAAGTATCGACTCTCTCACCCTTTATAGAGAACCAGAGTAGAGGATGGAGTGTGACAGGAACTGAGGATGGAGGGGAAACTGGAGCCACTTCCTAAAATGACTGATTTCTAAGCTTAACAAAAGGGACTTCACCAAGAATTCTCATTAGGGAGGGCTATTTTTTAAATGTATAAGGAAGATTACTTTTCGTATACTATCTTAACTGCACAAAGCCCGTGGAGTTCACACATTTCTACAGCAAAAACAGGATCATGCCTGTCCAAGTAAATGAATAATGAATTATGAAAAGTGAAGGCAACATAAAGCAGATTATTTCACAGATATTGCAGTTTCTTAGTTTACAGAGTTAAAAGTATTCCTAAATTCCAGGGCCCTGGGATGAATGTGAATGAAACAGACCCTGAGCCCACAGAAGTCTACAGTCCTGATGGCAGGTAGACAGGTAAAAAAGTATAACATTGTGTGTTAAATAACACCATAAATCAAAATATTAACGGTGCCATTCTCTGGGTAAGTGAGATTATGAGTGGTCCTTATTCTCTTCTTTTTGTTTCCTTGTTGTAGGTGTGGTTATAGTAAGAAGTACACAGGGGATTTACCTGGAGAGGGCCAACCTCTGCCTGAGGCAGCAGGGCAGGCGAGACACAGCTGAAGCGCTGCAGTCTGGGGTGGGGGTGGGGGGCTTCAAGTAGGCGCCGCTGGGACTTTTCTAGCAGTGTCCGCCGGCCGGAATGAGGACTTCACCTTTTGAAATGCCCAGTGGTCTGAACCATCGCTACACTCCTCTTTTAAGATTCTGATGCCAGCAAAATTTCTGTAATTGGGACCTACAGTTAGCAAGATTGTCTAGAGCATGAACCCGATGGCTCTCTTTACTCCGAGACTGGACTGAATCTGAAGCTGCAGGCACATGCTGTTGGTGAAAGGTTGGAAGTGCCAGCCCCTGGGAAGCTGCTAGTAACGTGCATCAACGCAGAGGAGTTAATGGGTGTTTTATCCGAGTAGCTATGAGGGGAGCACCTCTCCATTAAAAAGTGGCTGACAAGTAGCAGACAACAGATGAGCAATTATTATTATAAAATGTCATACATTCAGACATTTTAAGTGTCTTGACCCTTTTTCCTTTGGCATATGCACAAGTAAATCCCCTTCTGAAAGGAACAGAATGGTGTCCTTCAATGCCCAAGAACATAAAGTTGATAGCGCTCTTCCTAAACGGAATGCCAAAGATTATGCATTGCGAAGACGCAAGTATTTACTCTATTTTGTTAACACTAAAACACATTTAATTTCACATTTCTGAAGTTAGTGCATGTTACAATTAATGGTATGTCTTAGAGCCAGTGAAATGCTTCCCGGCAGTGTCCTCCTACTCCACGTGTTGGGTGAGGCTGACCTCCCATGAAAGACATTTTCTAGGAAGTCAGATGCAGAGTCTATGCAAGATAAATCTAGGCAGAGAAGACATATTTTTGTTTACTGCAGAGTAAGACCTCCTTGTATAATTAGATGCTTTTGCTCAGTCATCTGTTAAATTATTTTGGACCCACCACTTTTGAGCAAATCTACCAGCAGGAGTAAGTCCCCTCCCTGGTGAGACCCCATCCCCCAGGTACTGTGGGAGGGAGCTCGCAGAAGGCGGGTCTTTCCTCAGTAACAATGGGGCTCTTGTTGGTGACACCAAACACTGTGGCAGTTTTTATATCTTAGTTAAAATCTGGTAGTTGTTTTTCCCTTTTAATACAAGGGGAAAAAACTCCTGTAAGAGCTAGTGTGAGTCATACATCATAAACATTCAATGCTCTAATTCTCATGGGTTTTGAATGCCAAACACTGTAGGCTTACATCTTGAAAAACTGCATTGTAGAATGCTAGAAAACATATGTTAAGCTTTCTAGTATTAAGTAATGCTATAGTGTTTTTAAAAATACATACTATAAAGTAAACCATTCATAAATTCCAACATGATGCCAGTTATGTTAAAATCCTGGCTACGTCATTTAATGCTCATGCATAATTCTTTTTCATTGTTTTAACTCAACAAGTCAAACAAACAAACAAAACAGGATTGAGAGAAAGTATGTTCCAAAGCACATGCACACACACAAAATCACATGCATTTACATAACCACAGGAACAATAGTTCTTGGCTTCATTAAAAGCACAGCCATTTCCAGGAAACTAAAACTGTCTCCAAAACAGGTGATGGTATCTGTTAATGTGTGTTTCAAACATTCAGAAATGCAAAGTTAGAAAACAGACATTTTGCATCTAAATTCTCAAGATCTCGAGAACAAAGTTCTTGTAACTCAATTTAAGTAACAAATTGAAGACTCATCGTTCAAAACGAAAATAACATGAACTCCAGGCAATTTGACAGTAAAAATCAGAGCGCAAATGTAAGCTAATCATCGTTAATTGATGTCAGAGAAGAATGAGAGAATTTTTGTTCGCTTCAAACACTGAAGCAAAAGAAATCCCCTTTCTGTAGACTTTTACCAAACAAACAAACATCTAACAAAGTACAGTCAGGTCAAAGGGACGGAACACTTCGCACTGGGTAGCCGTTGATGATCTCAGGCCATCAGCGACAGCTCAGCTGGCTGGGGACTTCGGAGAGGCGTCTGGTGCCCCACTGGGCTGTTCCTGTCACACGGAGACCCTGTTAGGGCCTTGCTCAACTGGGGTTATCGTGAAACTCAAAGCTTACTCATAGTGCCCAGTATTCTCATCACCCTTAAAACTTTGCTGCCAGAACCGTGCTAACTAAATCAGCTAAGCGTGGGCCGGGCAAACAGCTGCGAGCAGTCCAGCCCTGCATCTTTGAGCTTAGTAAGAAAAACTTTGATCACACTGCCCCGCTCTGGTCAAAACAGAAAATTTGGTGATCCCTCGAAAAGAAAGTAGTTCGCACATGACAAACAATTCACGCAAAATGCAATTCATTTGTCCTTTTCAAAAGGACAAAGCATCTTAATGGTATATAGTTGTTTAAAAGTTTGAGGAAATCTACATTTTATGTCTTTGATGAACAACTTAGGAGAAAAATTATATTGTTGATGCCATTATTTTCATACACATTATTTTCATATACTTGAAAGAAAGGGACAAATATATTAATTATACAATTCCACTTGCTACTTAATTATGAATTTAAAATTTTCAAAAACTGGCTTATTAAACTATTAGTGTTCACTCAGCTGGGAAAAACTGGCTTATGTTATTAATGGCAAATACTTCATTGCAAGTTTTATAATTATTTTACTTAAAATAAAACAAGAATATTACAAGAGTTACTGATTTTTAAATGCCAAAAAGTCATAGTGACATTTAAAAGCAATTCCAAGAAACATATGGATTCCTAGATACAGTACCATTTTACGTTAAAATCAATTATCTGGACACAGTGGTTGACATTAATAATAATAGCAATGATGGGAGTTGATTGACCATTTATTGTGTCAGACATTGGCCTTAACTCTTTTCCTCTAACAGCTCATCCATAATCATAACATACATGCAAATTAGGTGTCAGCACTATATTCATTGTACAGATAAGCAAGTAGGAACAGAGAGGACTAATAACTCGTTCAAGGTCACACAGCCTAAGTAAGTGGTGGTTCCAGGAGTCAAACCCAGGCAACTTATATCATGTGATATAGAGAGAAATAGTCATTTCCCTTCTTGTATTCAATGCCCTACTACACAGCCAGTACCGTGTGAAACCATGACTCTTCTTCTGTTTATTACCAACACCAATCCAATAATTTGTATATTAATTAGAGGTCTATCACTCTAGTATAACCGATAAGGATCAAAGAAGCAAGTGCTATATAAAAAGTCACATCTGGCCCTCCCTGGTGGTGCAGCGGGTTAAAGCACAGCACTAAGAAGCTAAAGCCATTTCCCCATGAATTTGATCCCCGCCTGGCCTGGAGGTGACCACATGGCACATCAGACCTCTCCTGACCCGCCCGCTGCTCCCCTCAGCAGTCGGCCTATTCTACTCCCTACTCTGTTTCTGCTGAAGCCTCTCACTGCTCTTGCACTTCTGGCTTGTACCCCAGTTCTGTATGCAGAAATAAATCTTTAAAAAAAAGTCACATCTTTACATGTGTATGTTTCCCCTTGAATGTTAAAGAAATAGACATTTGCAAAAACAAGCACCTGCTCTAAAATTTTCTAGAGCATTACTAGTTTAAAGTAAGTCAATTTTTATTGAGCTTTGATGACCAAGTTTCTGTATTTTTACATTACCTGAATCTTTGTCCACAGCTTCAACTCTTACAACAAAGTCCCCAGGATTTTGGTTTTCTTTCACTGAAGCTTCATACAGCTGTTGCTTAAACACCGGCACCTCATCATTTACATCGAGAACGGAAATGGTCAAAGTCTGGGTTGAAGAAAGTGCTGGTGTGCCGCCATCCAGCGCCAGAAGGGTCAAAATGTGCTGAGATTTGATTTCATAGTCCAAAAGAAAAGCTGTAGTTAGTAGACCTGTGTGGAAAGAGAAGAAAACAACATGCAATAAATACTCTTTTGAGAAGTCATGCTTAACATGTCTAAATTATCTAACTTGATAACAATTCAGACGCTCTTTCGTTATATTGTACATCCAATTAAGCCAACTTTAAATATGCATAATGTCCAGAGTAAGGGTATGTTTAGTCAAAAAGTCTTCCTATTTGAGTTATAAGGATGAGTGAGAGTTCAGAAACAATTTTTCATATATCATTATCAAAGAATTACATCAAAGTGATTTGTCTACCCACATGTCCCTTCTTTTGAAAAAAAGCTAAGTTCTAACAGTGACCATCTTCATGTTAAATGACACTTCATTTTTAAAAGTTACAGTTGATCCAGTTCCAAACAAATGACTTTGGCACATTATTTAAGATATTTAATTTTCTTAAAGAGTAATGGTCTCTGGATACTTACTCTCAGCAAGCTACCTTACTTTATCAATAGAACTTAGCAAAGATTTGATAACTCAAGCAATAAACTTCCTGAATGTAATGCACCCCCATTCTGCAGCCATGTAAGCATAGAATACATACCAGCAGAGTGCTGCAAAGATTTGAACACATGTGGCTGTTCCATGGTTACAAAGTCACATTTTTTTTTTAAGGGATGGCTGTTTGCTTCCCTAACCCATGCTCACCCTACAAGAACTTACCTTCAAATAATTCAAAAGGTTTACTGATTCAGACTTTATAAGACAGTTTCCCAATAATTGCTTATCACTTTATACTTCACCTCTGAAGCCATTGAATGATTCACTATCACTTTTTTTATAAGAGCCTTGTGAAGGAACAGTCTCGTAGGAATGCATTCAGCAATTACCATTTTATGTCTCTGAAAAATATCTCAACTGAAACAGCCACTACAATGTTTAAGATTCATGATACCTGTGTTCCTGAGACACAATTCTAATTTTATCCACCCTCTTTAACAATCTGAAATAGACCTTCCCTAGCCATCTTGGAAAACATTTAAATATTGTTGAAATGGGTCCTTAGAGACCTCAGCTCTAACAGAAATCAGTGAATGGGTCTGGACTCTCTCTGTGTCAGTCGAGCTTTTAGGGGTTGCACACACAAGCCTCAGAATAGAACCATATGTCCAGGATTTAATAAATATTTTGATGAAATTTTCTAAGAGTATACAGCCAGACTATAACCATGCCATGACTTCTAAACCCTACACATTCGAACCCATTCCAAGTAATGCTCTTAGTAAAAACTGGGCCAAACAACATATATCTGAACTCTTCATACAGAAACTTTATATTTTAAAAAGAATGGTAAGGCAGTTCATCTTTTCAAGATCTTTTGAAAATCATAATGAGGGAAGTTCCTTTCCAATTTTACAAGAATGATACTCTCGACATAAAATCTTCCATCAAATCACATCACAACTTTTAGTAAAGGTTGGAAAGTGAAAGCAAGATAAGTGAAGTGAATTCCTGACACTGTCTACATGCTTCTGCTAGAAATACCACATTAGAATTGCAGTGAGGTCGGCGTCCCAATCAATCCATTGATTACAGATACATGTTTCTACCATCTTAAAGGTAAGTTTCCATACTAAAGTCTCTGAATAAAGCGGCTGATCAGTCATGCTCTGCTTTGCTTCGCTCCTGGCAATGTCTCCTCAATGGAGGGACAAAGAGAGATGGCAAAGACATTTGCTACTGACTGCTTATCTGAGGACGTGTGAGCTAGTCAACACTAACCAACAGGCCAACTTCAGGGGGCTCTCTGAGTAGAGCCTCTGAGCCTAGCACATAAACATAATGAACTGTACATGAATATCATTAAAGCATGTGCATCTTGAGCATTATCATTTCAACAGAGTTCTACGTGTCAGCAACGATCAGAAGCTTTCACTGTCAATGACATATCAGGTACCTGAGGACTCATCTAGCATAAAGGCCGTGTCTTCGTTTCCCGAGAGGATGCTGAATGTGACTCTTCCATTTCTTCCTTCATCTGGATCTTCAGCAGTTATGCGGTGTACCAAGGAGCCCACCGCGGCATCCTCGTTGATGTGGGCAACGGGGAGAGACACGAAAGTGGGGCTGTGGTCGTTTACATCCAAAATCACTACCTTTGCCATCAGCGATTTCACCCCCCGGTCTGTCACATTCACAGCCTGATCGGAAGCTGTTACCATCAGGAACACCGTGGAGACTTGCTCTCTGTCGAGGGGCGATGCTGTGACTAAAGTGCCAGAGGAGGGGTGGATGAGGAATGGGTTCGGCCCGGGGCGGTGGGCTTCAATGAAGTACTGTATGCGGCTGTTGAGAAAACTGCCATCACCGTCACGGGCATTGAAGACATGAACCTGTGTTCCTACGGGAACATTCTCTTCCACGCCTATCGCAATGAACTCATCTTGGAAGGATGGGGAATGGTCATTCTGATCTTCCACATCGATGCTAAGGAAGACCGTGCTGCTCAGGGCAGGGCTTCTGTTACTGTCTTCGGTCACCACCCTGAACAGATAATGAGATGCTATTTCATAATCAAGTTCCTTCAAAAGGAACAAGTCTCCCGTCATGTGGTCAATTTCAAAGTGACCGTCCCTATCCTCTTCAGCAATACTGAAATGCAGCTTCCCAGTGAGACGGCGTTGAAGATGATCAGGTGATTTTATCAAGCTTATAAGTTTTGCAGGCTTCAAGTTTTCTGGTATAACTACATGTTGAATATTCGGAGAAATGCCAGCTCCCCCCTTAGGTAGTGGTATCACCTGCAATAAGAATACAGAGAAACAGCTCACTTGGGGGAATAATTAACAGTTGAATCAACACATGCTATGATATTATTTTGGGATGTTTCCACTTGTGTGATTTACAATATGTTATTGGAGAAAACCATTTCTTTTCTTTATTAAAAAATCCAGTATGGGCCCTCCCTGGTGGCGCAACGGGTTAAAAACACAGCACTAAGAAGCTAAAGCCACTTCTGCATGAGTTCGATTCCCGCCTGCCCCGGAGGTGACCACATGGCGCGGCAGACCTCTCCTGACCCGCCCACTGCTCCCCTCAGCAGTGTACTTCATAGATCTGTCTGTTCTGCTCCCCACTCTGTCTCTGGTGAAGCCTCTCACCGCCCCTGAGCCTCTGGCCTGTACCCCAGTTCTGTATACACAAATAAATAAATCTTTAAAAAAAAAAATCCAGTACGTCTCTGAAGATTGGCCATTGCATAGTATCTAGGAGATTAAAACAAATAAAATAAAACCTACAGAATGCACTAATTTCCCATTTGCTGTAATGTATGAAATAGAGTTTTGTGAGGCCATCCTGTAACTGTAGCTTGTTGAGTCACCAGTGAGGATGTAGGATAGTTAGTTCTCCAAATGAGTCTTAATCCTGGAAGATGAATATATCCATAAAGACAACATCTGAGTCTCATGTGTCTCTGTTTACCTGCAACCAGACACTAGAGGTATTAAAATACTGAATTTTCTCCTAACCCTCAGATCCTTAATCAATAGGAATATAATTTTGAAGTAGAATTCTGTAGATGATGTAATCTTGATTATTATACTGATATTAATTTACTGATTATCATGTCCACGAGCAACGAAATCCAGATTTACATAATCATCTGATTTTTGACTGATTGATGCAATTTTGTCCC